GAGACCTGCAGGAAGAGACAGTCTGTACTGAGAGAGAGAGACCTGCAGGAAGAGACAGTCTGTACTGAGAGAAAGAGACCTGCAGGAAGAGACAGTCTGTACTGAGAGAGAGAGAGACCTGCAGGAAGAGACAGTCTGTACTGAGAGAGAGAGACCTGCAGGAAGAGACAGTCTGTACTGAGAGAAAGAGAGAGACCTGCAGGAAGAGACAGCCTGTACTGAGAGAAAGAGAGACCTGCAGGAAGAGACAGTCTGTACTGAGAGAGAGAGACTTGCAGGAAGAGACAGTCTGTACTGAGAGAAAGAGACCTGCAGGAAGAGACAGTCTGTACTGAGAGAGAGAGACCTGCAGGAAGAGACAGTCTGTACTGAGAGAGAGAGAGCAGGAAGAGACAGTCTGTACTGAGAGAAAGAGAGAGACCTGCAGGAAGAGACAGTCTGTACTGAGAGAGAGAGACACCTGCAGGAAGAGACAGTCTGTACTGAGAGAGAGAGACACCTGCAGGAAGAGACAGTCTGTACTGAGAGAGAGAGACCTGCAGGAAGAGACAGTCTGTACTGAGAGAAAGAGAGAGACCTGCAGGAAGAGACAGTCTGTACTGAGAGAAAGAGAGAGACCTGCAGGAAGAGACAGTCTGTACTGAGAGAGAGACACCTGCAGGAAGAGACAGTTTGTACTGAGAGAAAGAGAGACCTGCAGGAAGAGACAGTCTGTACTGAGAGAGAGAGACACCTGCAGGAAGAGACAGTCTGTACTGAGAGAAAGAGAGAGACCTGCAGGAAGAGACAGTCTGTACTGAGAGAAAGAGAGACCTGCAGGAAGAGAGTCTGTACTGAGAGAAAGAGAGAGAGACCTGCAGGAAGAGACAGTCTGTACTGAGAGAGAGAGACCTGCAGGAAGAGACAGTCTGTACTGAGAGAGAGACACATGCAGGAAGAGACACTGTACTGAGAGAGAGAGAGACCTGCAGGAAGAGACAGTCTGTACTGAGAGAGAGAGACACCTGCAGGAAGAGACAGTCTGTACTAAGAGACCTGCAAAAAGAGTCAGTTTGAACTGATGCGGATCTCCAGGGAAGAGACAGCTTGTCAAACCTGAGATGTCTGCAGGAAGAGACAGTCTGTACAATTTGAGAGAGACCTGCAGTAAGATACAGTCTGTACTGAGTCCTGTAGGCAGAGACAGTCTGAATAGATGGAGAAGAGACAGCCTGTACAAACATTAGAGATCTACCCATTGCAGTGACAGCCTGTACTCCAGACTGTGAGTTTTTTAATAAAACGATAAGAGTGATCACTATCAGGTCAAGAATTACAGGAACAATAGACAATTATGAGGATTTTATCCCAAAAAAGTAAATAAAAGAGAATTTTAGGATGGAAAAAGAGACCTCTGATTCCCATATTGATTACAAAGAGACTGAGGCCCACCTGAAACAGTGAACCTACATGCATCTGGATTGAGAGACCTGGACTACAGATCACAGGCAGTCTGAATATAGCGATAAGGAATTCAAATTGGACAAAGACAGCAACATTAACCAAGGAAAGGATATTAAACAGTCTGTGAGAAAGAAACTGGAGTGGCAAAGAGACTCCCATTTCTGGGATTAGATTGAATGTTGAAAAGGTCTGACCTGACACCACAAGCTTTCAGCAATGATGAAGGTGAATGCTTAGACCTGCTGAACACCTCTACATGGGACAGTTGGAGGCCCTTCTATAACTGGCAATTGAGATCGCTCGCAGGGGGCGATGTGTGACACCCCTCTCAAGGGAAACCCAGTGAGCGATCCCTCTGTGAGACTCTTTCGGGGAGGCCGTGAGCAGTGACTGATACCTATTTTTGCGTTTGAGACTTTTATAGCTAAATTAGCATATTAAGATATTACACTCAGATCCAGGGATCTAAGTAACTAAATACATTAAACTAACCGGACGCAGTTACACTCTGGGATCCAGGGATCGGGGTAACTAAATACATTAAACTAACCGGACGCAGTTACACTCTGGGATCCAGGGATCGGGGTAACTAAATACATTAAATTAACCGGACGCAGTTACACTCTGGGATCCAGGGATCAGGGTAACTAAATCCATTAAACTAATTGGACGCAGTTACACTCTGGGCTCCAGGGATCTGGGTAACTAAATACATTAAATTAACCAGACACAGTTACACTCTGGGATCCAGGGATCAGGGTAACTAAATACATTACACTGACCGGACGCAATTACACTCTGGGATCCAGGAATCCGGGTCACTAAATACATTAAACTAACCAGACGCAGTTACACTCAGGGATCAGGGAACTAAATACATTAAACTAACCGGACGCAGTTACACTCTGGGATCCAGGGATCGGGGAAACTAAATACATGAAACTAATCGGATGCAGTTATACTCTGGGATCCAGGGATCGAGGTAACTAAATACATTAAACTAACCAGACACAGTTACACTCAGGGATCAGGGAACTAAATACATTTAACTAACCGGACGCAGTTACACTCTGGGATCCAGGGATCGGGGAAACTAAATACATGAAACTAATCGGATGCAGTTATACTCTGGGATCCAGGGATCGAGGTAACTAAATACATTAAACTAACCAGACACAGTTACACTCTGGGATCCAGGGATCGGAGTAACTAAATACATTAAACTAACTGGACGTAGTTACACTCTGGGACATTTACATGGGACAAGGGACTTGTGTCCATCAAGTTCAGCCTTCCTCATATTTGTTTTTTGCTGTTGATCCAAAAGAAGGCAAAAAACCCAGTTTGAAGAACAATTTTGCAACAAGCTAAGAAAAAAATTCCTTCTTGACCCCAGAATGGCAGTCAGATTTATCCTTGGATCAAGCAGTTATTACCCTACATTGAAAGATTATATCCTTGAATATTCTGTTTTTGCAAGTATGCATCTAGTAGCTGTTTGTACATCTGTATGGACTCTGATAAAACCACTTCTTCAGGCAGAGAATTCCACATCCTGATTGTTCTTACAGTAAAAAAAACCTTCCTTTGCCTTAGACGAAATCTTCTTTCTTCCAGTCTAAACGCATGGCCTCGTGTCCTATGTAAAGTCCGTTTTGTGAATAGATTTCCACACAATGGTTTGTATTGGCCCCGAATATATTTGTATAATGTTATCATATCCCCTCTCAGGCGACGTTTTTCTAAACTAAATAGGTTTAAATTTGTTAACCTTTCTTCATAGCTGATATGTTCCATTTCTTTTATTAATTTTGTAGCCCGCCTCTGCACTTTTTCTAGTGCCATAATATCCTTCTTTAGAATAGGTGCCCAAAATTGCACAGCATATTCAATATAGGGTCTTACCAGTGATTTATAAAGAGGCAAAATGATATTCTCATCCCGAGAATGAATGCCCTTTTTCATGCATGACAATACCTTACTGGCCTTGGCCACTGCTGATTGCACATTGTACATTGTTGCATAGTTTGTTGTCTATAAAAATTCACAAGTCCTTTTCGTGTGTTGTTATCCCTAATTCGCTTCCATTAAGGGTATACGTTGCTTGTGTATTCTTTACTTGGATCCATGGGGTATTGTCCAAATGACACTTTATCAAAGTTTTGGTTGGCCACTTGTACAGCTTTTCCCTCTAGGTAGACTGTTTGCCACACAAGGTGGTGCTGTTGTGCTGGTGGGGTAACTGGTCCCCCTAGGGGTCTTACTGCTGTCGTGATGACCACAGGTTTTTATTGTCTGTGAGCATCTATATAGTCATCGTCTTTCCTAGCCGCCTCAGTGAGGGATTTAGGGTTGCGGTCCCTCACCCATTCCTGGACATATGTTGGTACCCCATCATTGAATTGTTCCAACAATAACATCTGTAATATGTCCTCCATGGACCGCGCTTTGTTAGCCTGTACCCATCCGAGGGCTGCCCGATGTAGTCGACAAGCCCACTCTGCGTGCAAGTCTTTTTACGCTTTCTTTAGCTCCCTGAACCGCCTTCGGTATGCCTCTGGTGTGATGGGCTCTATGAGCTGATCTTATGTAGAGCAGACAGTCTTTCAAAGTCTTGGAGGAAGGCATCTTTGTCTTCCTCTGCCTCTATACATTTTGAACGCTTGGTAGGTTATCTTTGGCTTACCCTTCTGT